AAGTCCTTCTGGGCTCTAAGCTGTCTCCATCTTTTAAATACATCATGAATATTTACTCGCGTTTTACTACGTCTCTGGTCATGGAGCTTTTTAGGAGGATGCAGAGTCTTTTTAGGTCAGGATAGAGTTTATTTGTTAGCTTGCTTCCATGGCTACAGCTCTCTGTGTTTGCCTGCCAATTTGCTTCATATCTGGCAACCTGAGGTGTTGAAATGGTACTAAGAAATAGGTAATGACTGGGATCACAGACCAAAACACAAACAGTCTTTCCACTCCAGAATGGAAATTGGCTGTAGCTCTGTTGTTGGAAAAGCCAGGAATTCAATTTAGCATGTTTTCTTAATTTCTGATGACATATAATGGTAATTTTATGATTTAGTACAGAAAATATATTACATAGTATTTCTTTAAAGTATTTATATACTCATAAAACGAATTTGATTAATAACTAGTTACTCTTCCTTCCTAAATTCCTATTCCTAAACTCTTTACACCTTTCCAGAGTCTTACACTGGCCTAAAGTTAAGATTTAGTATTTCAGTCAAATCTTGGCTGATAAGCTCTCTTTACAATCACTGAACTAAACTAATCCCTTATCAAACCAGTGTGAGGTTCTTCTGCATAACCACCAGGGGGCGATCTCATAATGCTCAGTGGATAAATGGCCTTGTTTTGATGAGTTTGGCACTTTTCTACGCTCTGTCTATCATTGTGAAGGAAAGTGACAATAGCAGTGAGTTAATTCCTCTAAAAACATTGTCTGAGTGTGTTTGTAGTCTTGTTTTCTGTGAGTCTGTTGGAGAAATAGAGGAACTATTTGTCTTATTCTGATGGAGTGATTTGTGTTTAAGGATTAATAGTTTTTTGAACATTTGTTCCAGTATTTAGATGTCAGTGTTGACTCTGTAAGGTTTCTGGTTAGTCAGTAAACTTTAACTTCTAATTCTAACTAAGAATGAATTTTTAACTTCTAATGAAAAACTTCAGACTAAAGTGTTCGAGAATGATGTTCAGCTCTGCATTCAGTAGCAACTAATTAAAGAAGAAGCAATAAATAAACAAATAAATAAATAAATAAAATACATATTCTAGTTTAGTAAATATTCATATATATTCACAGCCTCCAACTCCAGCACCTGCAGGAGGTCCCACTGCAGCAGTGCAGCCTCTGTACAGTCAGACTGAGGGAGGTTTTTGTACGGCTCTGTATCACTGTGTGATCACCCAGCTACCACTGACAAAAGCGTCACCCATACAGAAATAATCTCCTGTATCTTCAGGCTGGACTCCACTGATGGTCAGAGTAAAGGATGACCCAGATCCCCAGCCACTAAAACGAGCTGGAAAACCAGACTGAAGCTGATTCGCAAGTTTAATCAGGAGTTTAGGAGTTTCTCCAGGTTTCTGCTGATACCAGTATAAGGAGTGACTATTTGAGCTGTGTTCATGCACTGCAAAGCTGGTTCTACAGCTGATGGTGACTGTGTCTCCTGAAATAGCAGATTTTACTGCAGGAGTCTGAGTTACAGTCACCTGACCTGTGGACTCTGGAAAAAAAGACATACTCATTTTACATAGATATATGTACAAGTCCCTAGTATGTCCAGGACAGGTCACTCTAAAGCTAAAATATAGAATAGTTTCTGACCTTGAGTCCAGAAGATCAGTGTCCAGATGAAAATGGGGATTAAAGTCATGGCTGCTGTGGGTGAAGAAGTTGCTGTAGCAGCTCTCAGTCATGCAATGTTAAACTCACAGCACTATAAACTCTCCCAGAGCACTGAAGCATGGAGCACTCAGAGCAACGTGTCTCCTGTCTATGCAAATATCTTCATAACAGAACTTCAACACAAATCTTACTTCTGTAAATCATCTGATCTGCACTGCATCGTTCACTCTTCTAATTAAAATAATAGAAATAATGTTACGTCTGTCAGTAGGTTGTTGTAGGCCGTTTGTGTTGAATTCACCCTCTTTGCTCTCTTTCATTTATAACTGTGAGTTGTGGTATAAAGATTTTTACAGTTCTGCTTCTTTTCTTTTTATAAAATAACAATCACAACACAGCTGTTTGTCCATATAAAGTACTTTATGGATTTAATTACTCAAAATCTCTCTTCAGCCTCTTCCAGTGCTTCTCTCTCTTTCTTTACAGGATGGAAGTGGCTGATGATCACAGCGAGTTCTAGAACGCTCAGATATTGTGATGTAATAAAGAGGGACAGACGTGAGAATTTAAATTATGTTTCACTTACAGCTGCACTGTGTACGTTTTGGGGATTTGGAGACCCCTCTGGTGGAAATGTGTAATTGCAGGCATTGTGTAGAACAGTATTTTGTATTGCCAGTTATGCTTTGAAGCCCAGATGAATCTGACGATTATGAGTGCATTGAAAGAGAATTCAAAGAAAACTCAGTCAAAACTTGGTGAAGGATGTGTCGTCCTAGGATAGGAATGCATTATCTGCTATTGTCATCACATCTTTATCAACTTAATGTTGATTATTTGCCGTTGAGATCTGATCTGGACCTTCTTTTCAAGCCTTTATGTGTGTAACATTAGTATGTAAAGACTTGTAACATGGTCTGAAAAACTCCCACCAAATCCAAACCGACGTCTTTGAATTTTAAATGATTATTTCATGTTTTACAGGGCGACTCACAGCAGCACAGACACCATTTTTAGCATATTTATTCCTCTGACTCAGTAATGCTACTTCTTTCAATTTAAATAAATCTTATAGAACGCAGTACAAAAATGTACAATATGTACAATTAATATTATATAAGGCCCAAAGACCTGTTTAACCAACTGACCAATCCATGATTCACCCTCAAGATGGACAAGCATTACAGAACGAGCTTTATCAACAAAGCACAGCTACTTGGTGACTGCAGTGGACTGTGATTCAGTTAGTGATGCTAACCCAGCTGGAGCTGATGAACTTCCTGCTTAGTCCCTCAATCACCTTATAAACATAAACTACATGAAAAAATACACCTCTTTATAATCTGACATGTATGTGCAAAATAAACAGCATCTGAAATTTTCACACTTTCACAAAAATGCTCAACAGTTTCTCTTTAGGTTGAATGAGATTATTGTCAGTGTTAAATTTCTCCAACATTGCAAAAACAGTAAAGAAAGCCATAAACAGATAAACTGATTAACACACTTCATCTCATTTTATTAAGTCTACCAGATTAATGCATGTTTTACTCAATGCAATATTCAGTGTTTTTTCTCTGAGTGTCAGAGTGAAAATACGACTCACACTAAAACAGCGTAAACTATGAGAGAATGAGATTTAAGGCACATTGGCGGTACATGCTAGCTTCACTAGCCTAGCCTGCACATGCTAGCACAACTAAGCAGGCCAACTTCAGCCTCATCTGCCTTGATAACCCAGCTGCACATGGACCACAGAGCATGAATCCGAGTACTCAAATGTTAAAATGACTTAAAATGCTCATTCCTACAAGCAGCCGTGATGAATTAGTTGAGCTTAGCTGATCTCAGCTGGAGCTCAATGCTCACCTGCTCAGGAGAAAATCAGCCAACTAGGCAACCGTCTTAAAGTCCTTCTGGGCTCTAAGTTGTCTCCATCTTTTAAATACATCACCAATATTTACTCGCGTTTTACTACGTCTCGGGTCATGGAGCTTTTTAGGAGGACGCCGAGTCTTTTTAGGTCAGGATAGAGTTTATTTGTTAGCTTGCTTCCATGGCTACAGCTCTCTGTGTTTGCCTGCCAATTTGTTTCATATCTGGCAACCTGAGGTGCTGAAATGTTACTAAGAAATAGGTAATGACTGGGATCACAGACCAAAACACAAACAGTCTTTCCACTCCAGAATGGAAATTGGCTGTAGCTCTGTTGTCGGAGAAGCCAAGAATTCAATTTACCATGATTTCTTAATCTCTGATGACATATGTTACGACCCGGTCTAGGTCGGGCCGCAACATAAAAATAAAGAGACCTCCGTGCCGTCCCGGTTCCCCAAGGCACACAGACAACCAATGTTTGCGACAATAACAATTTGGCTTTATTTTCAAGAGTTCAGGGCTTTAGACAGTTATGAAATGTTAGGGGAGGGAAGGGTAAAATAAAATAACAAACAAAAACACAGCTAACTTAAGTTTAGGAAAATATAACTTACCTAACAAACAAAAAGAAAATCAAATACAATTTCTAACCTAACTTCCTAACTAAAGCAAACCAAGAGAAAAAGACAACAGCAAAAAAAAATAACCCCCTCTTCCCCAGTGAGAGTTTATGTACAAGAGCTATTGTCTGGGCAGCCACGGTAGCTGAGTGTTTACAGTATACTTCAATGAAAGAGTAACGGCATGAGCAAGGACAAACAGCAAAACACCAGTAAACCATACACCAGTAGTGAAGCTCTCACACCAACACAGCTCTACAGCAGTAGTGTCGCTCAAGTGACTGCAGGGAACCAGGAACGCAACAGAAGCCACACCAGAAGCAAAAGCACCCCCCCACTTCCGCCTGGGCGTCTCTCTTTTATTGGCGGCTCCCCCTGGTGGTGGCTCAGTGCATCTTCCCTCAGCTCTGCAATAGATACAAAAAACACACTACAAAAACTATGACCCATAGGGTCATAACACATATAATGGTCATTTCATGATTTACTACAGAAAATATATTACATAATGTTTCTTTAAAGTCTTTATATACTCATAAAACCAATTGATTCATAATTGGCTACTATTCCTTTCTAACAACTCTTTACACCTTTCCAGAGTCTTACACTGGCCTAAAGTTAAGATTCAGTATTTCAGTCAAATCTTGGCTGATAAGCTCTCTTTACAATCACTGAACTAAAGTAAGCTCTTATCAAACCAGTGTGAGGTTCTTCTGCATAACCACCAGGGGGCGATCTCATAATGTTCAGTGGATAAATGGCCTTTATTTGATAAGTTTGGCCCTTTTCTACACTCTGTCTATCACTGTGAAGGGAAGTGACAATAGCAGTGAGTTAATTCCTCTAAAAACATTGTCTGAGTGTGTTTGTAGTCTTGTTTTCTGTGAGTCTGTTGGAGAAATAGAGGAACTATTTGTCTTATTCTGATGGAGTGATTTGTGTTTAAGGATTAATAGTTTTTTGAACATTTGTTCCAGTATTTAGATGTCACTGTTGACTCTGAAAGGTTTCTGGTTAGTCAGTAAACTTTAACTTCTAATTTTAACTTGTAATGAATTTTTAACTTCTAATAAAAGATTTCAGACTTAAGTATTTGCTTTCGGGGGAGGAACCAAACTGCACATTGTTCTTAATGCTTTTATTAAAGTCCAACAGTAATACGTTCAGGACACAATATCATTTATGAAATATTGTAATTCAGGTCAGATATATTTGAAATAAACAGGCTGCAGTTTGAATGTGTTTTTATGCTCAACTGAACTCAGTTCTGCTCTGTGTGGTTTGAGAGAAATGAAACACAGTGTCTTCCTGTGGCGGCTCCACCTGTTTCTCTGGGCTGAATGATTGATAGCTGTCTCCACCTATCAGAGCTTTAGACTGTGTATGTGTGTCTCCTAGGTGACACGGCACCCACCCTCACGTTGCTGCCCCCGTCCAGCGTGGAGCAGGATCAGGAGAAGGCCACTCTGGACTGTGTGGGCAGCGGGGGCTTCCCCTCAGACTGGAAGCTGAGCTGGAAGGTGGGCGTTTGCTCATTGGAGTCGGGGGTCAGCCCTGCGCTTCTGCAGAAGAACGACGGCCTCTACAGCTGGAGCAGCACCCTGACCCTCAGCCAGCAGCGGTGGCTGAAGAACACAGTGACCTGTGAGGCCACCAAGGACTCCCAGCCTACTGTCCGCAAGACAGTGAGCGCAGACCAATGCTCTGACCTGTGACCTCACAAATGCACCTCCGCTTTGCTAAGATCGGATCATTTAGCACAGCAGTCAGTTAGATGTGTTAAATGTGTTTCAGTGCTGAAATGTGTGAAACTTTGCCTTATAAATAAAAGCTTTCCTTCAAAAACTGAAACAGTGTTCTAGTTTCTGCTTTACACTATATACATATTCTAGTTTAGTAAATATTCATATATATTCACAGCCTCCGACTCCAGCACCTGCAGGAGGTCCCACTGCAGCAGTGCAGCCACTGTACAGTGTGACTGAGGGAGGTTTTTGTACGGCTCTGTGTCACTGTGTGAACAGATCGTTGCTGCTGATATAATGGTAACTCTGACAGTAATAATCTCCTGCATCTTCAGGCTGGACCCCACTGATGGTCAGAGTGAAGGCTGTTCCAGATCCGCTGCCACTAAAACGAGCTGGAAAACCAGACTGAAGCTGATTCGCAAGTTTAATCAGGAGTTTAGGAGTTTCTCCAGGTTTCTGCTGATACCAGTATAAGTAGTGACCATTTGAGCTGTAGTAATACACTGCAGTGCTGGTTCTACAGCTGATGGTGACTGTGTCTCCTGGACGAGCAGATTTCACTGCAGGAGTCTGAGTTACAGTCACCTGACCTGTGGACTCTGGAAAAAAAGACATGCTCATTTTACATAGATATTTATGTACAAGTCCCTAGTATGTCCAGGACAGGTCACTCTAAAGCTAAAATATACAACAGTTTCTGACCTCGAGTCCAGAAGATCAGAGTCCAGATGAAGATGGGGATTAAAGTCATGGCTGCTGTGGGTGAAGAAGTTGCTGTAGCAGCTCTCAGTCATGAAGTGTTAAACTCACAGCACTATAAACTCTCCCAGAGCACTGAAGCATGGAGCACTCAGAGCAACGTGTCTCCTGTCTATGTAAATATCTTCATAACAGAACTTCAACCCAAATCTCACTTCTGTAAATCATCTGATCTGCACTGCATCGTTCACTCTTCTAATTAAAATAATAGAAATAATGTTACCTCTGCCAGTAGGTTGTTGTTGGCCGTTTTTGTTGAATTCACCCTCTTTGCTCTCTTTCATTTATAACTGTGAGTTGTGGTATAAAGATTTTTACAGTTCTGCTTCTTTTCTTTTTATAAAATGACAATCACAACACAGCTGTTTGTCCATATAAAGTACTTTATGGATTTAATTACTCAAAATCTCTCTTCAGCCTTGTATAAAAGGCTAAGACAATTTGGGTGTATATCACTTTAAGACTCGCGTTCTATGGGTATAGGGGAGCGACGTGTATATTTCAGTAGTTTACCATCGTAGATGGATGAGTTCGCCAGTTCAGCTGCGTCACTCCATAGTCTAGTCTCACCTACCTATGACTGTTAACGTTCCTTATTCCTTCCTGTGTGATCCAACCAGCGATATTCTAGTATTGAGTCAATGACGGAAAGTAAGTGCTGTTGTTGTTGTGTTCATACCTCGTAAGTTCAACTCCACAATCGTATGTGTTCAGCGTGAGAGGAGACGTTGCCAATGTTGTCACGATGTACATGAAAATAACTGACTGCAGGAAGTGTTAAGCTAATCATTAAGAAGGCTCTAATCCTTTATATATCTCAGTTAATGTGAGACCATTGTATCGTAGTGAAGGCTTGGTAGCGTTCTATGTATGGAAATGGCCGCCGTATGTAAACGCCATTCTGCAGTACCCTCGAATAGCCAGGGGGTGTCACCATTGTCCTTTATGTACATGTTTGAGCACATCTATTCCTCTGAGGAGTAATATTCCCATTTATATGTGACTCTGGGTTACTGTTTCTGCTAAATGGGCATTGTAATGTTACTGATAAGTTTGTGCTTGATTTATGTTTGATTGCTGGTTTATTCTACTGTTATTTCAGACTGATGGCGATACTGAATGTCAAGCTGTATCACTAAATACTGCTGGAATACAATACAGTTAAAGAAAGAATTACATCTCCTCATCTTCTTTCCTGTGTCCTGACCGATACACCATCCTGCTTACTGTTAACCCTAAACAAACTAGCCCTACCTTACTCCCTATCAAGCAAGCCTCTTCCAGTGCTTCGCTCTCTCTTTCTTTACAGGATGGAAGTGGCTGATGATCACAGCGAGTTCTAGAACGCTCAGATATTGTGATGTAATAAAGAGGGACAGACGTGAGAATTTAAATTATGTTTCACTTACAGCTGCACTGTGTACGTTTTGGGGATTTGGAGACCCCTCTGGTGGAAATGTGTAATTGCAGGCATTGTGTAGAACTGTATTTTGTATTGCCAGTTATGCTTTGAAGCCCAGATGAATCTGATGATTATGAGTGCATTAAAAGAGAATTCAAAGAAAACTCAGTCAAAACTTGGTGAAGGATGTGTCGTCCTAGGATAGGAATGCATTATCTGTTATTGTCATCACATCTTTATCAATTTAATGTTGATTTTTTTCCTTTGAGATCTGATCTGGACCTTCTTTTTAAGCCTTTATGTGTGTAACGTTAGTATGTAAAGACTTATAACATGGTCTGAAAAACTCCCACCAAATCCAAACCAACGTCTTTGAGTTTTAAATGATTATTTCATGTTTTACAGGGCGACTCACAGCAGCACAGACACCATTTTTAGCATATTTATTCCTCTGACTCAGTAATGCTACTTCTTTCAATTTAAAGAAATCTTATAGAACGCAGTACAAAAACGTACAATATGTACAATTAATATTATATAAGGCCCAAAGACCTGTTTAACCAACTGACCAATCCATGATTCACCCTCAAGATGGACAAGCTTTACAGAACAAGCTTTATCAACAAAGCACAGTTGCTTGGTGACTGCAATGGACTGTGATTCAGTTAGTAATGCTAACCCAGCTGGAGCTGATGAACCTCCTGCTTAGTCTGTCAATCACCTTATAAACATAAACTACATGAAAAAATACACCTCTTTATAATCTGACATGTACGTGCAAAATAAACAGCATCTGAATTTTTCACACTTTCACAAAAATGCTCAACAGTTTCTCTTTAGGTTGACTGAGATTATTGTCAGTGTTAAGTTTCTCCAACATTGCAAACACAGTAAAGAAAGGCATAAACAGATAAACTGATTAACACACTTCATCTCATTTTATTAAGTCTACCAGATTAATGCATGTTTTACTCAATGCAGTATTCAGTGTTATTTCTCAGAGAGTCAGACTGAAAATAC